ATACACAATAATTAATTGTAAAGTTATTTTTCTTTCAATTTATTCTTATTTCAATTGTAATTTCATTTAAAATTAGTGATATGTGTTTATTTAATCATACTATACAAAATTTCATACTAAATTTAATAATCCTCCATTGTTTTAATCCTTTTTATATTTATATGATTCAGGTTGCATAATTATGATTATAACAATTCATGTATAATGAATAAAATAAAAAATTTGTAATTCATAATTACGTGTGTTGAGAAATAAAACCGTGTATGATCGGTATACGTTGTATACGTTATACCCTGCTTCATTTCTCAGCAGACAAATAGTTTTTGCAATAGAAAATTTTAAAAATATTTTTTAGAGACAGTTTGTTATTTGGCTATACGAGTACGAGTATCATATAATAAATAGAAAAATTCTTAAATATTACAAATTTTTGTGTCTGTTTGACTGCAGATTTATATTGAATACGGTATTCAAATTCCAATTATTCATATTAAAACATACGGCGTGTTTCTTGTTATTTTACTCGCCCAGTGAGAAGAAGGTGAATGAAAATCATATATATGTACATTTGTATTTGTATAATTTTCAAGTGAGAAGAGTTTTTCCATATTGCGTATTTCGTTTTTTCAACTATAATTATTTCAAATCATTATTTATTCACTTTGTGTTTGAAGGTGATAAATTCAGTCGATAATTGAGGAAAAAATAAAGCAAAACTCCAATTGAGAAAAGGGTTCTATGAAAAACGAAGTCTTAGTAGAAAAAATGAAATAACAATTAGGAGAAAGGAAAATTCTTATTTTAAAGTGAATAAAAAATAAAATGAAAAAAACGAGATACATGATTTCGCTAATAATTTAGTTGCGATGGTTTCATATTGTATTGATAAAAAATTAAAACTATGCCTAAAATTTTATATACATATTTACGAAAAAAAGAATGGATACTTTCCACCATATAGCAAACAAAAAAACAACATTTGCCATAATCACCATCTATTTACGCAGAAAGTGCAAGTAAGAGGTCTTATACAAGAATAAAACAATCTTTTATAATGCAAACTTTTTCTGTTCGGAGTAAGTTGGGTTTGCCTGCGTGCCATTTATAATTATCTACATAAGTTAATTAAAAAAAAAGATCTGAACATATCATGGAGGTTTTTGTTAATTTTGTTTTAGAATAGTTTTAATTTGCAGGAAGTTCGAAAATAATTGTACGCTGCATACACACTGAAAATATAGATTGTTCGGAAATTATACTTGCTGTAATGAAGTTCGTAAATTCATTCTGTAATTAAGAAATTTCAGAAATGTAGCGCCCGACATCTAGTTTAAATTTTTTTACTGGCACATGAAATTTTTTTTTTTCAAATTTAAGAATTTGAGTTTTTATATAACAACTTCATTTAGGATAATTTTTGAACGACTTCAGAATTTGAAGAAATTTCAGAATTTGAAGACTGCATAATCATAAAAAATGTAGCTGAAGTTTTTGTTTACTGTTTAATGCTGCCTATTAGAAATTTAAGTTCTAGATTAGAACTTTTAACGCATAGCGTGCATAAAAGAAACTAACCGTATATTTTTTTTGATATTCAATGAATATAATATGATATACACTGAATTCTAATTGATTACCTGACTTGCATATTATATAAAAAAGAAACGTTTTTGTTAGAAAATAACATTTTATTCTACTTGAGTTTTATTTTTTGGTATATACCTATAGTAGATCATACAATTAAATGTTTTTTTTTTTAATTATGAAGGATTCTAAAGTTTATTCGAATTCACAGATATTTTTTTTCCAAAATTTACTAAAAAATTTGTTAAACTTAATTTTGTTTCATAGTAAAATAAAAGAACAAATAATAATAATTATAGATCGTTTATCAAAGTAGTGCAGACCTAATGTCAACATGACTTATTCACCATAACAGTGTCAATTATTGAATAAGACAAGTTGACGTTAGACCTATATTTTGGTAGACGCCAATTGTAATGTAGGAAAAAAGTAAGTAATAATTATAATATAAAAACTAAATAATATTAAAATTAAATTTTTAAAATAGGTAAAGGTTAAAGGTTAAACAATTAATTTTATTTAACTTTTAATAACATTAAATGTATAGATAGTAAGATAGTAATATTAATATTGAGTATGAATTTTTCAAATATATTTCACTAATATTTTAATATAATTATAATTTTATTTTCGTTTAATATTTTGAAATTTTAAATTTACATATATAATTTTTAAATATTAAATTTTATATTTACATTTTATTTAATTTTTTTTTTTCATTTGAAATAACACTATCTAATTTTTAGTTTTAAGTTAGCTGTGTGTGTTCAATTTATTCAAATATAATTATTATTTAAGAGTATTTCATAGTTTTTTTTTTCTTCTAAATTATTAACACTTTCTTGTTTAATTCTAAAATATTTTGTATTATATACTTATATAGTAATGATTATTATATATTTTATAATATTATTAAGTAATTGAGATTATAATTAATTTTAGATGAAACTTTTATTTTATTATTAATTATTAAGTCTTATGAATTAATTAATTAAATTTTCTTTTAAAAATATTTTTTTTTTTTGTTCTTTTCCTGTGGAAAAAAATTTAACAATTTTCCTTTTTTTAATTTAACAATTGATTCTTTTAATTCTAGACTTAAATAATATCTCGTAAATTCAATAATTACAATAACTAATTATGTAAAAAAAAATATTTTATTAAAAATTAATATGTGTAATTTTATAAAAGTATTTTGAAATTATTTTTTTTTATTTATTTGTGTGTAAATATTATTTAATTGAGCGTTTTATTTTAATAAATTTTACTTTTATAATTTATTTAATTCATTATTTTTATTACATTTTAAATTAAATTTTTTTTTTATATTTATAATTACAAAATTTTTACATTCTTTGCAAATTTTGCCTTTAAATGAATAATACACAAGGAGAAGGAGTTTTGAAGATGGTTTTTCATTTCGATTTCATATATGAATGCTGATTTCATAGTAATACCGTTACTGCAATTTTAAAGTGAAAGGGACATAAAGAATTACGAATTTATTGTTAAATAAAAAATTTCGACGTTTATGTTCATGTTTTTTCGGTTTGGCAGTTTTATGTATGAATTAAATAAAAATGAGGTGAAACTTCGTTATGTTATAGGAATTTTTATTGGAAATTATTTAATTAATAATATTAAATTAATGTTCTATTGTACTCTAATTTAAGTCTAGTATCTTGAGTTTTCATCCTCAACCAATTTAATTGTCAATTAAGATTACAGGGTAATCTAGGGTATTTGGAACTAAAATTTAAATATAAATAAGAAATTTTTTAACTATGCATTTCAATGTTAGTTAATAATATCCAATCTAATATAGTTGAAGTGATGCTATTTGTGTGATTTTTTCTTGATAATGATCTTAGATATAGGCCCAAGTATATGTTTTTGATTAGAATTTTGAGTCCATTTAGCTTTTCCCGTCTCTCCGTCCGTTCGTTTGTTCGTCCGTCCGTCCGCCCGTCCCAATGATAACTCAAAAACTAATTGAGCTAATTTCCCCAAATTTTCACAAAAGATTTATTATAATAAATGCCAGAACCCTAATTAAATTGAATATGATCGAGTTACTGGTCCGGGTAGCTGCCATACAACTTCAAAATTTATTTGGCTTTACCTCAGAAATTATCGAAGCTACAGTATTGAAATAAGCGAAAATATTATTATATTCTGGTAGCTGCCATACAACTTGAAAAGTTATTTGGCATTATCTCAGAAATTATTGCAGCTTTAATGTAGAAATTCCGTGGAAACAAGTATATTATTAGGGCTGTTAGAAATCGTTGAAATTCCTTGACTCCTTATCGTAGCTGCCATACAACTTCAATAATCATTTGGCCATATCTTAGAAAATATTGAAAACAGAGTACTGAAATTTTACATAAATTAATATGGTAATTCGGTAACTCAAAATCATAGTCTAATAATAATAACTCAACTCTATTTTTTCTCGTTTTTTATCAAATTATATTTTTTATGTGCTTTCGGAGAATTTCACAAATGTCCTGTTCTGCCTTTCGAATTTTCTACAGAATATGAAAATTAAAGTTAAATTTGGATCGAATGCATTATCGGATTTTAGATCGAATATATTATTAAACATTTTTCAAGTTATTTTGTACTACAAAACAAAACATAAATATGTAGGTACTTTGTAAGGTTACAGACTCGTTATTATATTAGTCTTTTCTAATAATTATAATACAAAATCTGAAATAATTAGAAAAAATATTTCTAATATTATTATTTGCATTTAATACAAATTTCTTTAATAAAATTATTTTTATTAGAATTTTATGATAATTTTTAAATGTAATTATGAACATCCTTTACGTCTGCATGTTACTGTATGTATACATATTTTGTTTCCTTACATATAATCATTTTAATCCCTTATATAACATTTATACAACATATAATTGTCATTTAAATGTCAAATTATATTTTAATATTCCGTTATATTACCGTATACAGAAAATGTGATTAATTTTTCCCTAATGCCTCTACATAACATGAAATGAAATGAAGATAAAACAAGAAATTTACCTTCTCAATTCAATCAACTCCCACCTTATCTTTATATCATCATTTTAATGTCAATTATACATATCTTTATATTATATAATATGTACATATATATATTATGTACATTGTAATAACTGCCAAATATTAACGGTTAATGGTATTGGTATACAATGTATGTACGTAAATAAATTTAACCAAAAATTCAATTATGTTATAAGACATTAACATTACAGTGTTACATTATTATTCTAACAATAATAAAGTTGTATGTTATTTTCTATATGGGCAATATTAAATTCTTATTTTGTATGCATGTATGTATGCATATAATGTGTATATAAATAAATTATGAACATTAATATGAGTATTTTATTCAATAATTTATTTTTAAATGCAAACCGGTTTCTTTAATGTTTTTTTCTTTGTATTAAATATTATATAACAATATTCTGCTCTAAATAAATTCTAAATGATTTTAATAATTCTATGATGGTGTCGTATACCAACCAGCTGATGGAGTTCCTTTATGATATAAATGAAAACTTGAATGAGGTGAAAAATATTGTGATTGTTCTAAAGTACCATAAGCAGCAGCTGCTGCAGCTGTTGTTGGATCTATTGTTGCTGCGGCAGCAACAGCAGCTGTTGATGCGGCATGATGCATTGCAACAGCAGAATATGGTTGTGGTTTGATTAATGATGGCGTTGTAGGTGATTGATTCGCATCACCATTTGAATTACCATTTCCGTTTCCAGTACCAGTATTATTACCATTACCATTTCCATTTCCTGTACTACCACCTAATGTACTATATTGACCACGAAGTGAATCAATTGTTGTGTATTCATAACCATTTGCAGTTGACGTTGAATGTTGAGTTGAATTTTTTAATGAATTTAAATTTGTTGAATCTCTCGGTGATACTGAGCTAGGTGGTGTCATAGCATTATGATAATCAATTGAACTATGATGTGGATAACCACCGTATGTTGAAACTAAATTTGTAAATGCATCGGCTGATGTCTTTTGGCTATGATGAGAATGTAATTGTAAAAATTGGTTATCAAAAGAGGATTCACTACCGGGTGGTGTTGGTAATGGTCCATTTTGACCATTATCATTACTATAATAAACTGCCCCAGTTGGAGTTTGCCTAGCTGTTGCTCTTATTACACTTTCCCGATTCGCATATAATTGTCTAAGTAAAGCTGAAGCTGGCATCGGCGTAGGTTGTTGATATGGATTAGCAGCAGTGTGTGTATGATGTGTACCAATCCATTGTATTGTACTACCACCAAGTTTGTCTTGTTGTTGCTGTTGCTGCTGTTGTTGTTTTAATAAGGCATCGGTGCTGAAATCTGTTGTTGGATTATTCCCCCCATTCGTGGGTGAAGGAAGATGTTTAGACATTGCATTTTCTAAATCTTTAACAGAGGATTCTGTATGTTCTTCAATAACAGATGATGAATGGCGTGAACGATTCGTATCATTTGTTTGGTCACCAGGAACACCTCCATTTGAATGCATTGACATAGCAGGAGAGGATTTTGGTGGATCTATACTTATTGCAACCATTTCATCTGTAACTTTCATTTTTCGTTTATGACCTCTTTTTGTTACGATGGGTGTCACTGTTGTTACTGTTGGTGTATTATTAACTGCAGATATATTAAGATTTTGTTGTTCTTCAGTTACGGTAGGAACTACTAAACTGTCTTTAATGGATGACAATGAATTATTTCTACGATTTCGATGCTGTTGTTGATGTAAATCTGGATCAATTTTTGGTGATATTTGAGGTTCTAAAGTAGTTGCTGATGTTGCATTTGAATTTCCAACCGCCGACGTTACTGTAGAATGATGATCAACAGATAGATCACCACTACCACCACAACTTGGGGAGCCATCATTATTATCATTGATAATTTCTTCGTGTTTTATGAGATTATCAAGGCCACCCTCTAGCTGAATGCAATCTAATACAAGATTCTCATTTTCACGGAGACTGACGACATAATTAACACAAATTATGTTCTGTTCATCAGCATTTTTTGAACTGCATACCACAGTAGCACATGTTTGTAGCCACGTATAACCACCGTTTTTATTCATTATTCTATAGTAATGTGTCAGAACTTGTCCTTTATTTATTACTAGAATTTAAGACATGAAAATTCATTATTTAAAACAGAGAAAAATAATATTTTACAAGTAATACAATTTTAGAATTCGAAATTTCATGTTTAACTTACAATCTAAATGACATTTCCGTAATTTTTCCGCATCTTCCCCATGACATAAATTGTATAAATTTTTACCGGTTAGTTCTTCAGGCGTATAATCAAGTAAATCGGATACTCTGTAAATAAAGTTAAAAAGAAATTTAGGTTGACAACAAAAAAAAGTCCAATGATTTGTGTTAGTATATATAAATCTAGTTTTAGAATATATGGGAACTTTTATAGTTTTTATATAAATAAATTTCAATAGTAATTTGCATAGGAAAAGTATAGAATTATAAAGAGACTTTACAAATCAATCACTCAAATCGAAGATTTGAAAGTATATTCTGTTTTCTGATTTTTGCTTTTACAAAGAACAAAAATGTGCATAGAGTCATGCTATTCAAATTTCTTTAAGATTTATTGGAAGATTAAACTTCAAAATTTTTGTGCTCATTTAAATATTTGGGAAAACTTTATGTTATCTTAAGTAAGGAAGGGTCCTGCTAGTTATTAGTTAGTCAAATATTGCAATTTATTTTCATTTTATAATTTTCTAACTTAATCAGGAAATGTTTTGTTTTTTTTTTATTTGCAATGTTTACATTGCAAATTTGCTAATAATATTTTGAATTTTAAAGATTTCCTTAATTTTATGCCAGAAGAATATTTTCTTATTTACTTTGATTTCTCCCCACATCAAAAGGATCAAAAAATTTTTAGAGGAAAATCTAATTTTTTTATTTATTTTCGAAGGCAAAGAAAATTTTATCAAAATTTACATTTTAAATTATTTTGCAAAAAAGAACATTATTTTAATGTTTATTTATTTATTTTGCGGTTTTCTTCTCTCTATTATTGTGCATAAATATTGTAATATTAAGAAAAATATATATAAAAAAATATTTACTTACTTTGGTTCACAATGCGCTATTCGAAAATCAAAATTTATTCTAGTCACAAACATGTCACATTCTAAACGTATTTCATGTACAGATGGTGGTGGTAATGCAATTGCTAATGCCACCATGCCTAATAATGGGGGCTGTGATTTTCTTGTATGTGAAAATGTATATTGCGGTCGTAAACGACATAACATTAGTACAACCTGCAATAAAAATTGAAAATAAACAAAAATATTAAGTGAAAAAATTTATTTATAGCATATTAAAAAATAAATAAAATATAAAATATTTATTTTAATATATTTAATTTTGAAAACATTCTTATATTTACTTTATAATATTCGATACTGATCAATAAATCAGTTAGTTTCTATCTATTAAAAATTCAAATGCTTTTATAATTCTTATAAAGCTTTTACTTTTAAAAAAACATTACGTTAGTTTTATTTTTAGGTAAAAAATTCACACAAATATTAAAAAACAATCACAAAACTTCTTTAACAAAATAAAGTATACCAGCACACTTTTACAAAGGTGTAAAAGTATAGGTATAAAAATTAAAATTAAATCAATAATAAGAAAAACACACAAAAATAAGTAAAACAGAAAAAATGTATGAAAACAAAAATGAAATTTTAGATAAAATTCAGGCATTAGGAAATAGAATATAGTCCGCAAATGGGATTAAACTAAAATGAGTTTTTGTACTATAGGAGCAAAATTATTTATTAATAGTTCACTTAATTAAAATATTACCGTGGAAGAAAAATCTATTAATATTTTGTTAATAAATGAGTAACCATTGCAAATGCGAAATTGAACCACATAAAAGCTAATTCAGGAAAATTTTTAATTACAAACTTTGATTTAAATGACAATAAAAAATGAGTATAATGACATAAAACAAATAGAAAGAATTTAGCTCAATTTTTAATAGGACTCGGAAGTCAATAACTCTATGAAGAAATAAGGAAACTATCAGCATTATTTTCTCAGCGCGGGCATCAATGGTAAAAAATTCTTCATTAATGACGCTTCAGACGCTTGGTAAAAAATTAACCCTGTGCTCTGTATTAATTTGATTTATTATAATGAAGCATCAAAATGAAAGTTTGTATCGCAGTGAATTTATCAAGGTTACGAAATTTCAAAATTACATTAACAATTTGAAGACAGGAGTTCTTACCAATTTGTATTTAACAAAAAGATTGTAGTAAAGTCAAACGGAAACATATGTAAAGAAAAATACTATATGAAATCAAAACAAAATCAAAGAGAGGTTAAGAAAAAATACATTTTTCAGTTGTAATCAATTATAATTTCAAAATGAGGAAAATGAATTTCAATGTGAAACGATAAAAGAGTGTCAAGGTTTGAATATTCTCATATTGAAGTTTACTATGCAATTAATTTTAATTTGATCATTCTTATCATCAATTTTACTATTCCACATTAAAGTTTATTATTCTCATTTTAAAATTAAAACAGTTTTATTCTAAATCAAAGAAAAATAAAATATTTTTAAATAATTTTTTAATTAATTGTTATAAAAACTTCATTTAATTTTTAAACTCTCATTATTTGTTTTTGGTTTTTGTGTTTCAAACTGATTTTATTGATACGTACCGAATAACAAGCAGAAGATGATTTCCCATATTTGCCATTACTACCATTGGACAAATTACTACCATCTTTATCCTCTTTTACCTACAGCATATAATATACACATATATACGAATGTTAGTTATTAAAACTCTTTTAAAGTTTTATAATTTTTTTTTTATTTATTATAATTAGATTTCGACACAATTTTTTTTATTAATTTTTATATTTAATTCAAAAATTTTCGGTTTGCAAAAACAGCTGGGTTCAAAACTCCTGTCCAGAAACACTAAGTTGCAGCAGTACAAAACGCTTATTCTTCCGGTTCTGCTCTATGGCTCGGAAGCTTGGACATTGTCTGGGACAAGTGAGCAATGCCTTAGTGTTTTTGAGCGAAAGATTCTTCGTCGCATTCTTGGTCCTGTGAATGAGGGGGGGGTCTGGAGGAGAAGATATAACGCCGAACTCTACGAGCTGTACAGCGACATAGACGTGGTTAGCAAAATTAAAATCAAAAGGCTACACTGGCTAGGTCATGTGGCGCGAATGTCTGAAACCAGTAAGGAGAGTATTCGACTCTAGACCCGAGGGAACAAGACGTCGAGGTAGACCGCATCTTCGCTGGGGAGACGAAACATCGGCGGATTTAAAAAGGCTTCGTGTCTCCAACTGGAGGAGAGTCGCGCAGGACCGAGGCGAGTGGAAGAAAATGCTGAGTCAGGCGCAGGACCTTCATGGTCTGTAGGGCCTAGCAAAGAAGAAGAAGAAGAATTCAAAAATTTTGCATTTAATATGTAAAAAAACTAAGTAAATCACTTTTAAAATAATTTTCCTATATTAATCTTTATAGCTCAATTGTTATGCTCTTACTCAAAAAAATAATTGTTGAGATTTCCTAAAGTAGCTTACGAAACAAAAAAACAAATTTTTGCGTCCGATTTCTAAACAATTTACTCATTCTTCTATGCTAGTTGTTTTATTATTTACTAATTTGCTAACTGTTATACTGGAAATTCTATACAGTTTTAGCAGAAATTTAAGCTTTTTTTGTTTAAATAGAAAATTATGACATGCTAATGCATACAGAGTTTTGATTGCTTTAATTTTTTCAAGAAATTTCGGTAAAGCAAAAAAATCTTTACGTACTAATAATAAACTTTTTGAATAAACTTTGGTAGTAAGGAAAAGATTCAAAAAGCTCGGTTACAGCTTAAACTTTACTAAAAATATTTTAATGTCAGATTCATAAAGATATACATATAAAGGGATTCTTAAGACTACAATGAATGTTGAATTAAATTGAATCGAAATAAAATAAGGAATGAATTTCAATGGAGCATTTTTTTTTAAATGTATACAATACTCTTAACATTAAATGTAGAAGAGTATACTAATCAGATGCAATTTCAGAAGTGATTTTTCAATTGTGATCACAGGAATCAATTTGATGAACTCATTTATTGGTCACTTTATATTTACAATAGACATTTATTGGTCACTTATATTTATAATTACATTTGGACCTTATCTTACGAATATACGATTTAACGTTATGTGAGGTGAATTTCGCACTTTTGGTTAAAATAATTTTGTTAATAAAATTTGAAAGTTTGATCATATAAAACGTAACGAAATAATAGAATCAAGTATTACTCGATTCTATTATTTCGTTACGAGTAAAGTTTAAAGAATTTTTGTTATAGGATTGGATAATATTGTGTTTTTTATTTCAAATTTTTTGCAGTATTTGTACAATTCTATTTTTCAATATGACAAACATTTACTAAATTTATAAATTTTAATTATTATAAGGTATGCGATTATTTCATTATACCTCTGGGGATATTAATTTTGCACTTACCCTATAACCAGATGATTTAAAATGGCAACCACGTTTTGTTAATGTTGATTTCATTCGAATACAAAAAGCTCTATCAAAACCTTTATAAGCACTTGAAGCATTCAACACCATTGAAGCTGACACTGTAAGAATTAAGAAAAAAATTAATAGTTAAATTTAATGCATAATATTGTGAGAGGTAAACTTTTTTGTAGTTATCTTATTTTAAAATTATGTAGGAATGCCATAACGAATTGAAGAAATAAAAAGAAAAAACAACTCCCCAATATTACAATTAAGGATAGTCTGCTTGTTTTGGTAAAAGCTGAACCTGAGGTTACCGGCTGATTCCGTAGGAGGAAAGAACTTCTTTTACTGATGAATTATAGACTAAACATAGCTCAAATGTTGAGGATCGTTTTCTTACAGCGGACCACAGTCCGTTATGAAACTATAATCAGCGAATAACACATTTCAGTTATTGCAAGGAAATTAGAAGCAAAGACAAGCTGAACAATTCAAAGTCCTTATAATTATTTGAAACATATGTTATGTTCATTTAATGCACCGTATCCTTCAACTGAAATTTTGCGTACCAATTAAGGCTACATAAATATATAAATAGTTTTAAATTATTTTACTAAATTCTTTTTATGTGCGATATTAAAATGTTGCATAATTAAACGCTGTCAGAATCGTTACACGATAGGAATCATCTAGTGCACGATACACGTGGAATCTGAATACAATTAAAAAAGATTTTTAAACAGCTCTTTTAGTGACTGAGTTTTTATACGTGTATCAACGACACATATATATATAAATAAATATTCACAGTAAGAAAATAATTCACAATGGCATTATAATTAAAATAATCCAAAATGCTAAATCATTTTTAGATATCAAATTGTAATCATATAGCAATCTGTTTTATAAAGAAAAAAATAGATTATTTTTAACTTGTAATCACTTTAATTTCATCAGCAATCAAAGTACTTCATGGTAAATTAATCAGTTAATGAGTTACGCCTTTCTTAACGAATAATCAACCTGTTTTTTCTTCCTCCCTTAACCCTTTTACCCGTTTTATACTCTACTAAGAGTAGAGTTAAGAAAATCACAAAATTTTTTTTATTTCTTTAGTTTGAAAAGTATGGTTGAAAAATGTTGGAATTTTTGTTTTTTTTTCTCATTTTTGTATTTTATGGTGAACGTGCCTCCGATACACTTGGTTAGAAGCATGAGAAAATCTTTATTAATTCAATGAGATCCAATTTGTTCATTTAACCATCACAATAATTAGTACAAGAGTGTATAAAAAAATAACTGCAAATTTACAAGATTTTTTCCCGTTTTGTTCTTTTGTAACTTCCTAATGAGCTTCACCATTTTAAAGGAAAAGGGTTAAAAGAAGTAAAAAATAATATTTTGTGTAATAGTCAAAAATTAAAAAATATTTGTGTACAAACATTTAATTGAATAAATAAGTTGAAAGCAATGGATTTAGTAATTTGAATACAAGGGTTAAGTTAAATACAAACTTGGTTTTTGGATTCAATTAAACGCACTTACACCACTATTTTGCTTGCAGTTAAAAGTTTTTACATTAATACTCGTACTTTGCTCTATACATGGAATTTATTTTTATGCACAAAAAGGAGTAAATTAGTTAATTACTCATTGAATTATGCAATTAATGTTTAAAATTTATATTTTCCATCTAATATTTTTAATAATAATATAACGATTAAAGGAGTAGATATAGAATTTTGGAATTTTAAAAAGATAATCCTTGAAGACGATCTGTGGTTTTCAGTGTTCATTAAAATCGTCAATTATAATTTTTGATTTACTAAGAGATTTTGTAAAGTTCTCTTAACAATGTAAAATGTTCAATTAGGGTTATATAGAGGAGCTTATTCCAATGAAAATTGTTATTCCAAAAATTGAAATAGGAAAATAAAAATATATTGAAATTCTATATTGATTTTTCCAAGACAAAACTGTATAGAAGGATTTTTGCAACAAGTGTTTTATTTGCAATAAAACTTATTAATGTAAACCCTTATGACTGTTTTGTGGGGGTTCTTAGAAAATAAATTGCTTTTACAACTTGATACCGAAGTTCGAATACTTTCTAAAGTATAATAAAACTATTTTTGAATCTTATAAATTATTTTTGAGTACAGAATCAAAAAGATGCTGTATGGAAGTAAATTTTTTGAAAAACGTGCCCATTACTAAACAATTAATTATGCAAAATTTTAATATTGAAACTTAGTTTTTTTGCGATATAGGTACCTATTTTTGTTGTGTATCGGCACTCTCATAAACACTAGTACTAACATCTAAATTAATTTTAATAACAATTGTTGTTTTAATATATATGTTTTTAAATTATATTTGAATTTGTGTGACAACTAATTTAACCACTACATCGATTGCAGCCAAATTAAATAAAATCCCGGTGCTCGCTTTTATGAAGCATTGGTGAAGAAAATAAAGTGGGCGTTTAATTTTTTAATTGTTGCAGAAAGGAAAAATTAGACAAATTGGATGGATAGACTGACAGACAGAACGATTAATCAAAAAACAATTAGTAAAAAAAAATAAAAAAAAAATTGAATTTAATTATAGTACTTTTTAGCGCTTTTTAAAAAAAAAGTGTTTATTAGCTTTACTCTGTCCGTCGCGCACATGTTTACAAAACTTTTACACACTTGAGGATAGAAAGGTAAAATGTCATACGTACTAGAAACCTATTTCCGTGAAAGAAAATCCTTATACACCTCCCCCCCCCCCCTTCCCCTTTAAAAGTTATATCCCCCATTACCCTAAAAATGTCATTTTTCAACTATTTATTGCCGTGAAACCATATGCACTTTTTAAATTTTGCAAATGCAGTAAAATAGTGGTTGGCTTCTCCACCGCGGCATACTTGAATTGTAAAAAACATAATGGCCTTTGAAATTTACCGCTATTTAAAATTCGCTTTTTCAAATTTTTCATATCGTTTTTAGGTGGCAAGATAACTGTTTATTAGTGTCTAAAAGCCTATAGCAGCTCAAAAATTTTCTTCTTACGAAATAGTTTATTTCATTAAAAGAAAATTGCAAGTTCTTTTTCATCTCCACCCCCTCTCAATTTATTGCCTTTCGAAATTGTAAAATTGAAATTTTTGCACCTTATATTTCTGAAACTGTAAGCTTTTCCAAGTTTCTGCAAATACGAAAGCTAACGGTAAATGCCTTCCCACTAAAAAGTATAATTATTTTTCGTAACACCCACAATTAACCTTTAAATTCGAGCATTATGCTAAAGCCTTTTTTCAATTTTTTTTGGTTTATTTCAAAGATTAAATATATTGCTCTTCCGAACTGTATGTAATTTTTGAAATATATTCGTATATAAATGAAAGTAATTTTAATAATGCAGTACATCGCTAAATTGTTTTAATACCAATTCCCGTCACTTGTTGACGGGAAAAGTGCTACATTACCAACCATTTGTTGGATCCAACTTTAATTATTCTTGGTTACAAGGTGGTGCATATAATATAATTTTGGTTATTATTTCTCACTAGAATTCGAAACAGAGTGGTACATTTATGACATTTCACGAGCATAATTTGTATTTTACTTTTATAACAATAAGGTTTTTAAATTATGTGATTATAACATAACATTAAGAATTTATGGGGAAAAAATTGAAACTTACCATCTGGATTGTTTGTTCCTTGATTTGTACCACCTTCATCTGATGCACCTGATGACGGTGATGCTAAACCAATTCCATTATTATTGCTACCATTACTACTACCAGATTGATTATTTGCTAAACTTAAACCTAATTGTTCAGCTATTTCATTATGATCCTGCTGATGTACATAATCAAATATACTGCTACCGGTCATTTCAACTTGTGATAAACCTAAATAAATTGATACCGTTTCTGATATATATAAAAATCTACCATCTGCTGCAACAGCTAATGCAAAACCATCTAATGACTGTTATAGAATATTAAATGAAAAATTTTATTTATTGTAATTGTGAATTTATATATTTAATTTTTAAAATCGAGATAGGTTTTGTATTTTCTTACCTGTAATATATGGGTACCTTGATGTTGTTCAAATAAATCTACAGCGGGACTTCTTCGTATTGAAGAGGCTAGAACAAAATATTAAAATATATTGATAATAGGAATGCTAATTTATTTATTGTTGTGTTCACAAATATGACGTGGCTTTTAAAGGCAAAATTTAAATAGTAAGATTCTTTATGGATTTAAATAAAGCACAAATGCAGTATATTAAAATTGAATTCGGATACTATTCTTGGGCGTCTTCTCTCTTTTTAATGTAATTTTATCTTTTTTCTGGTCAATTACAAAATTATATGACACCCTCTTTGATTCCAGCTGTAAGGGACTTTATAGTAAAAATATTTTAACAATTTTTTTCATTAAAATTCGTAAGATAATCAAAAATTTGTTATTTAGAATTTAAAGAGAAATTTACGCCATTTTCTTTTTACTTTATTAAAAGAAAGAGAAAATTCATATATGGTGCCGACTTCTTAAATGGTGTGCATATAAGTATGACGATATATGAATTATATTTTTATTCATAATTCTAAGAAAAGGCACTAAAAGAAAGCAACCTGCACTTTAGTGTATAAAATAGAAGAAAACGATGAGCAAACAACAAAAAAAAAAAACATAAAAGAAACAGGGTTTGGCTTTATTATTTATTCTCTTTTTCTGTGTTTAATTTAAACAGGGGATCGTTGTTAAAATAAATCCGAAGCCATTGAATATTTATTTTTTTTTTTTGAAATAATTAAACAGCTTATTCAAGCGGGCTTTGGTATGTTTGTGTATATGAAAATGAAATGTATAAGAAATAAAAAGGAAACATAATTTACGCTCATTACTTTATTGATGGGTTTTTATTTGCTTTTCATAAGTCTTTATTAAATTTTACCAAAAATATTTATATATGGTTATTGTTACGCCTATCCAAAATAATCTTTGCAGAAATACGTATGTTATAAAATTATTAGTTCGTTTAGAATTGTAAGATATAAAAATTTTGAAATATTATTGTGTCATAATATCTTTGTATTGTGCCGAATTCTAACCTATTTACTAATATCTACGTGTATTTGCGTCCATGTATATGCGCTTTTACGAAGCGCATATGCTGATCTGTGAAAATTTTAATTAAAATTTTTAGTAGAATATTTAATACCGGCATCCTATTTAGTTTGAATTCGGCAAGAAAATACTTAATATTTGCCATAAAAGTCATTGGTCGAATATTAACTTAATGAAATCCCAGAAACTTTTTGTTGGGTTATAAGTTTGTTAAAAGTAGCACTAAGGCCAATACAAATTTATACATCACATTTTAAAATTAATCAAATTATCAAGTACTCCAAAAACGTTCTTTGATAATAAGCCCAAAACATTTTTTTCTTTTAAAGTTTTATAAATACTTTTGAAAGCTTACATAAAAGTTCAAAATTTGTTTTTTGCTATTGATACGAGTTGAGGCTAACCATTCTCCACTTTTTATTTAATTTTGTTTGAAAATACGTTTTTTACTGCTGAACTTGATGTATGCTGCATTTTTTTCATAGAAAATTTAAACAATTTAAGATATGTTGAGCTTTTTAGCGTTTCAAGCCATAGTACGGACAATAGGTTTGACTAGATATCACATGGGTTGGTATGGCTAGTTCACATATTCTTCTTCTCACTTGAAAGTTATTGAATTAAGAATATGTGCTGACATTTTGACAATATGTTAATGTTTTCGATTGATTTCATTCAAAACAGCAAAACAATGTCATCATTATAATTCTTATTTTTTTAACTTTTTTCTTTCCTCCAAAATTTATTGAACAGCAAAAGACATTGGAGGGTAAAAAGAGAGATGTGTAAAAGTAGGACATATAAGCGACTGTACCAATAGATTATGCAGATGGGTTTACCATGTTATTGTGTGTGCATATAAATGAATAATAATTAAACCATTATTTCAGTTTGAAATAAACGAATTCATTTTGAATTTCTTTTGTTATTTTTTCTTTTTCATTACTGTATTATTATTACAAATAATATTTTTTTTTCAGGTCATTTGTAAATTTATTTATTATTATCGTCATATTTTGTATGTGAGACGTGGAGCACACAATAAATGGAACAAAATAAGAGTAACACAATAAAAAAAAGTGAACAAATAAAAAAATTTCTTTTTTAAATAAAGTAGCAAAAAAAATTGATAATTTTTTTGTTATAACTTTTATTTGGTATTTAAAGAGTTAAAATAATTTCTTGATAAGGCTTAAGTGAAGTAATGTTTTAAAGTTTTAAAACTTAAATATACTTTTGTGAAAATACACATATAATTAATATATAGCCGCACATATACATATATAGCACCTTGGTTCCTTAATACCGGAACAATTTAAAATAGTTAATTTCTTATTTAACCATCTAATTGGAAGCGCAAAATATTTTTAACTCGCAACAGCTTTACGATATTTTTGGAAATTGCCATTCTTATTTTCCGCTTTTTGAACTTATTCTTATTGCTTTGTTAAAGAGTTTTTTTCTAAAATTATTACTCGAAATTGCATCAAAACGATGTTGCAGTATTATTGACTGGATGAGATTTGTTAATTCGTAATAACATTTGTATTTATAAAGAATTTCTAAAAAAAGTACTTATTAGTTTTACTCTGTCCATCCATCCGTTCGTCCGTGGATATGTTTACAAAACTTTTACACCCTTGAAGATAAAAAGCTGAAATTGAATATGTGTACAGATATTTTTTTACTAGAAACTTATTTCCGTAAAAGAAAATTTTTACTTATTTCCACTCATCTAAAAGTCCCTTAAAACCTTAAAAATTCCATTTTTTGACTTTTACTTGTAATGAAACCATAAAAATTTTTAAATTCGGCAAACACACAAAAGTGCTGGTGAGCTTTTTTACCACGGTATACTATAATTGAAACATAAAAAAACAAAATGGCCGTCGAAATCTGCTGTTATCTAAAATCCGTTTTCTTCCAAATTTTTGATATAGTTTCTCTTCTAGACCTTAAGTTGTAAATTTTAACAACTTTTAGATATTAATAAAAAGTTTATTTCGTTTCCATCTCCACCTCTCAAGTCATAGCCCTCGAAATTTGTAAAATTTGAATTTTTGGCACTTCATTATTTCGAAACTGCCAGCTTTATGAAATTTATGTAAATGCGGAAAGTTAACGGTAGGTGCCACGCCCTTAAGAAATATAATAATTTTTCTTGACTCACGCAATTAATCCTTGAGTTCGAGCATAAAATTTAAAGACTGCATACAGTGCTCATCTTAGATGTATGCAATTTCAACCGCAATAAATATATTACAAAATATTTTGATGTATGAATGAAACTAATTTTAATAATATTGTAGATTGTTTTTAACAGCGGTATTTTTATTGGTTAAAGGGAAAGATGCTATAGTAGAAGCCATTGGTTTTGACCCAACTTTATTCAAATTATTTTGGTAACCCCAGTTTAGATTAACATTTTTTAAGAATTTTATTGAAGATGCAAACCAAATATGTGTGACGACAGTTGAATATAATGACTTTGAGGTTGGTTTGAATATAATGACTTTGAACTATCTTTAAAGAGCATATAAAAGTCTAAAAAATAGGATAACGGGCTTAGAGAAGCCAAGAACTTAATTTATAAAATTTTATTTTTGCATTAAATGAAGTTCAGGTTTTCTTAAAGTTAAGTGAGAGTATACAAATTCTATACTTTTTTAACAATATTAACAACATTTAACTTTTGTAAATCGTTATTTTTAAAAAATATGTAGACAATACAAATTTTTAAGTCAATAAAAAAATTAAAATATACAATCATAGACCAAAAAAAAATTTTTCTCAATATTATTATTGAGAAAAATTACAAATTCAATATTCTCAAATATTAATTTTGTAAAACGTTATATTTAATCTGCTGTATTCTGTACTTAGATTTTTTTGTTTTTTTACTCAAAACTTTATTTAGTTTTGATTTAAGAGATTTTACTGTTTCAAAAGCAGAATTGTATTGTGTATTGTAAATATTAAAATAATTTCTTTTAATGAATCGTATATAAAGTTGTGACTTTTTATTTTGTTTTTAACATTTTATTTTTTTATTATTTTTATTTTCATTTTAAAAAATATTTTTGGGCCTTCATTGTTAAAATATAATTAAAATAAAAATAAATTTCAATGCTTTTTTTATTATAGCCATTGCCATATTTGTAGTCCATATGAGTAAAAAAAATTTCATGTCATTTACATACGCAATGAAAAACGATGACAAAAGGGATGACTCCGGCTTTTTTTCTTGTTTTATTTGTACTGCTTTTCACAGAGACAACCAGCTTGAAAATTGTGTATGTCTCATTTTCTGTATACAATATATGTATGTAATTACTAGGCAGTTTTTAAGCTAGTCAGCTTTTTCAAAATGCCCATCAGTATTGTGACAATGGATAGAGTAATGAAAATAAAAACGGTTGACGGTTAAAAATAAAATAAAGAAAAAATTAAAATAAATTTTTTTTTAAAGCATTGAACACTGATGGAATTTTAAATGAGGGTTTGACAATAATAAGAAAAAAAAAATCTCCATATTTATTTAATTTTTTTTATTTTATGGTATAGAAATGTATTTGTATGTATTCGTGTTGGTTTGTAGTTAAATGTCCGTCATCAGAAATTGTTGAAAAATTGTAATTGTTTTTTTTTTTTTGTTTTTTTTTTTATTTTTTGTTTATTTGCATATTATGCCGAGGATCTCATTTATTTATAACGAAAACTACTGGATTTTTATTTCTTAACTTTTATGTATTTGAATATTGCCAGATGACATCAAATTTAAAATTAAATCAAAGAAAGTTAACGATGTTTTTAAAATGAATTCGAATATTTAATTACGATGTGACGGATTAGTAGATATAGGATGTTGCCGCAAGCTACAAATTGTACTTTTATTAAAACTAACTCTACATGCTGTATCATATACACATTTACAAAATGTTAGTATGTATATAAGTATGTAAAAGCAAATTCTATACCAGCCTAGATATATTTAGAAAGATTGTATATGTACATACATATATCATAAATTGTAATGATTTACCCAAAATTTTTCAATATGTGGCTCCCATAAAGAAAAACTTAATATTAATATGCGTCTCTTAACAATCTCTGTTCGCAAACATGTCTTTTATGGGAGTATACTTACAGCATTTCATTTAGTGATGAACTCCCAAATTTTACATCAAATTGTGTAAAAAATATTCCGAATTTTACTATTAATTATGAAAATAGCGTAACAGTTTGCAACAATCAATATTTCTCAGTATTTAGGCTAAATGCCATTTTCTCAAAAGAAAAAAGATTATATACACTCTTTGACAAATAATGTTATTAATGTAAGGGCTTAATAAAACTTACAAATTAATGTTCTCAAACACAACGTAAACAACTCGATACTTCTTTATATCTCTGTAGTTCAGTTAGTCTAAATTGTTAGGCACCTCAATCTCAAAAGGAAATATCTGTGTTGTTGTTTATTTGTCCCACCCACACTTTCCTAAATATGATGTATTTCGGTATATTTAAATTATAGTGTAACTTTCTGGCAATGCCATTACAATGAATTAGCATTTGATGAGTTCAGTATTCACTTTAGTATATTCATAAAAATAATAGAAAAATAACAATAAGAAAAATTACAAAACAAAAAAAATAAAAATAAAATTATAATTTTAAATAAAAATTCAAAATGGCGGAATTTTGAATATACGCATATTTAATATGCTATAGTTATATGATACATTTCCAAACGTTCATACATATATATATTATGTATACATAATATATAATACATAAATACATAAATTGCCAAGATTTATTTGTATCCATATAAATATTTGAATAACTAAAAAATAAAAAAAAAACACTGTGGTTGGAATTTTTTCTTTGTTTTTTTTCTTTTAATTTTATTTATTTGAATTTATTGTTAAAGCAAAGATTTTTTTAAATTTGCTTTTGTTAGAAAATGAAAATGGCGACATTGTGACAGTAAAATTATTTATTCTTATTTTAATCATTCTATTTTATTGTCTTATATTTTCTTTAGTTTTCTCTCTTAAATATGTATTTAAACTCAACTATGTAAGTACCCATTAAATTACTGTTTTAGAAATTATTGTTAAAATGTGGAGAAAAAATTACCATTTGTTAAGATTAAAAAAAACATAATATAATAAAAAAATTTATTTATTTAAAAAAAAATTATTTACAGATTTTTTATGTTCCATTTAGTTTGATTTGAAATTTTTGAAAAAAAGATGAAATAAATTGCATAATATTAAAATAAATTTTATTTTTTAGTTTAGAAAAATAATAAAAGAATTTCTAAACATTTAATCTCCTCGCTTTTATGGATATTAACTATGTGTAAACATAATATCTATCAACATACATAACGTACATATGTATATGTGTCGGTTGTCTTTTACATAGTATATTAAATAGAAAGGAATTTGTATATATAATTTAAAATAATATTTTTAAAACTAAAACTAAAATGGCGCTTCACATATTTAAAATTATATTCATATCTACATACGAGCATAAAATTTACGCACGTATTTTTAAGTTTTTGGACAATTTGAATACATTTTGGGTTTTATTTTTTTGCTTTTAAGACTTAAGCGAACAAATTTTATAATATATAGTTCTACAATTATATTTTAATTACATATGTACATAAATAAATTAACAAAAAAATACGAAGGCAATGACATAATTCCTCTACTATTCGAAACTTGTATCAATTTTATTGTGAGGCAAAGTAATATACACAGGAGAGTGTGTGGACATAATCAACGTGGAGTGAGTCTAAGAAAAAGCACTTTATTTTTACATGCTTATAGGTATTATTATCTTCGTTCCTTTAGGTACATATAATTCCTAAAAAATTTCGATAAACCTGAATAAAAATATCTTTATTCATTACATTTATATAGACGCTCTTCTGCGCTTGGAATATATTCCGTTAGTCTAATTTTTAATTGACGTTCTCTTCTGCGCTCGGAATATATTCCGTTAGTCTGATTTTTAACCGACGTTCTCTTCTGCATTCGGAATATATTCCGTTGGTCTGATTTTTAATTCACGGAATATATTCCGAACACAAAAGAATGCCGGAATGTAAGATATTGTTTACATATACAAAAATATTCAAAATTAATTCTACGATAAAGTTTGACAACTGTTTTTATATCAGACTTAATTTTTCTGATGGCTGATAATTTGAGAGGGGATGGAGATTGAAAAAATTTTTTTTCTAACGAAATAAACTATTTATTAGTATTTAAAAACTGCCTCCCACAACCTGGGGTCTAGAAGAAAAACGACTTCAAAAATTTGGAAAAAACGGATTCTAGATAACGGTAAATTTGATCGGCCATTTTGTTTTTTTTTAAAGCTTAACTATAGTATGCCACGATAGGCGAAGCAAAAAACTGCCTTTCCGCGTTTGCAAAATTTGAAAAATGCTTATGGTTTCATTGCAGCATATAGTTAAAAAAGGCCATTTTTAGGGTTTTGGGTATAGCTTTTAGAGGGGATGAGATAGGTAAAAATTTTGTTTTACGGAAATAAGTTTTTAGTAAAGATCTATGCACATATAAAATTTCAGCTTTCTATCTTCAAGGGTGTAGAAGTTTTGTAAACATGTCCACGGACAGACGGACAGAGTGAAACCAATAAGCACTTTTTTTCAAAAAATGTTTGGAAAAGTGCTAAAAAGCAGCTTATCGTTGCTCCAAACTTCAACAATAAATTAATTGTCACTCCTTTACTTTTAAAAAATCTGGCAGTAAGTCGGATGAAAATATTTATTTTAAAATTAAATATTAAATAATATTTAATATTTTTCCAAAAAATTATATACATACATATATTTGATTTAATGAACTTTGCCTTTCAAACATTTGTAGCTTTTCAATTTAAAATTAAATCCCCCTCATATTTTACTTTTGTTTGTGTTTATTTAATTTTGAAATTCTAAATAAATTATTTTAAATTTTTTTGAAATGTTGAGTAAATATGACCTTTATTTATTGCTATTTTATTCGTAACATAATCAAAAATCATCATTAAAGTCAAAACTAATTAATAAATTGCATGAAATAGTTAAGTACCTACTGACATCAATATCGCAGACTTTTTTATAGTTTTGTTAGATCATGATAAAATATATTTTTATATAATTTTCAAATAATAACAAAATTATTGGAAAATTAATTGAAAAATCGTGATGACAGATGTAAAATAAAATCGTGACATGGCTAAACTCATAAGGTTTTTAATTGACACCACATGCTTGGCATGTATGTATTTTTAGTATTCAATGTCAATCAAAGCTCAATTTTGAGATAACCTTTTTATTTAAGTAATTACTGCACTTAAATTTTTGAATACAAAAATATATGCAAAGACATAAATATATATCAATTAAGGGCATTCTAATAGTATAGCTATACTCTTATTTGCATTTATTTTTGAAAAATCAATTAATTTATTGATTTTAAAAATTAAATGCTTAAGGTATTAATAATCTTTAAAATGTAGAGCTTACGAAGTTTTAAAATTACCAAATTATTTTGCAAGTATGCAATTGTTTAAATAAGAGTTGATCCTGATTTTAAATCAGGTTCTCAATTATAAGGAGAGTAAATATAATCTCATAATCAGGAGAATAATTATAATCTCAATAACTCTATAATTAGATTAAAAGAGTATAGAATGAATAGTACAGTTTAATTATTTATGTGTATAATTTTGTAACAATAGAAAATATTGTATATTGTGTTTAGTAAGAAAATAGATCACATTTGATACTTACTTTTTAATACTTTACTACTGTTTGAAGGCTCCCTCGTCCATGGCGGGTCTCCATGACCACTAAAATCACGTAATTTTAAATAACTTATTGTCAGTCTTATTATAGAAGCTTTATCCAATTGGCTTGTTATTGCTGCTGGTAATGGCAACATTTTTGCTAGTTCATAAAATTCAAAATTCTCTTTACCTCGTCTAGATCTTGCTGCATCTCTTGATTTTTCTTTTCTTAATTCTAAAATTCTGTAAGTAAAATAATTTTTAAAATTAATATTCAATATTGTAAAAGTAATATTATATTTAATACTTAATTAAAAAATTTGAAATGCCCGACACTGTATGAATTATGTTTCATAGATTTTATAGAAGCACAATATGTGTAACTTCGTTTTATAGCCGCTTCAACTTATTTTACAGTTAACTGTTTGTTTGAAAATATTATCGAAATTAAAACAAAACATAAATCGTCAAACACATAACGATTTTGAAAGTGTGTTATAATATTTTAATAAATTAGCAAAAGGTAGAACGACTTATTCTTGTTATTAGAAATTAAAATCTTGTTTGCGCATATACAAATACCGCATATTGATTCGTATAACGTTGGGATGTAGGGATGGTTGGATTATTTGCTCTACATATTTGTACAAGTATGTATATATATCATAATTATAAGATTACCAAATATTTAAAAACGAAAGTTGCAATTTTAGAACGTGGAACAATTCCGAAGGTACAGGATGTTGAAAAAATTAAATTTACTTATACGAATCATTTTCAGATTGGCAGTTTTATTCCTTTGTTTTTTTTTATTAAAGGATTTAAAAATCGAACTTTCAATTTTTTTCCTTCTTATTTAGAATAACTATGAAAAGAAGTTAAAAATATTTTATCATTTTGTTACTAAAAATGTGAACAATAATCGGATTACAATTTTAGGTATGTTACATAAAAACAAATTTCAAATCGAATTAATAAAAGAAAATAAAATAATTTTTTTTCGAAAATATTTACGGTATTTTTTATTAATAAGAATCTATAATGATCTATAAAATGGAACCTTAACATTACTTATGAGAAATGTTGCAATTAAGCGCCACTTTCAACAAAAGGGATTAAACAGGATTAACAGTAAATTTTTCTATTAAAATCTAAACATTTTATCAACACAAAAAAACTCGTACCGAGTGTATTTCATGTTTACATTATCATATGTACATATTTATTTTACAGGGCTCTGAATCTTACATATGTTTATATATCTGTTATGTAGATTTGTCAATGCACATTACGTAAATCAACTGTAAATAAATTTAGTTGCATACTATTTACAAGTAAGGGTATTTCAGATAAAATAGGCGAATATACCAAAGATACTTTTCGAAAATGGAAACTTAACTGAAGCTAATTGAAGTTAAGATCTTGTTTTCGTAATAATCTTTTGTAACGAAGGCAGAAGGACTAGAACCATTGGTAGAGAAATAAAACAAATCTGATTTTAATTTCGTGTACACATTAACTTATCCAAAAATTACGAGTGTGATTAAGGAATAAAGAATGACTTGACTTGAGAACAAAACAGAATAAATAAAAATAAATAATTTCGAAACCCAAATAGAGATATCTCTAACTTGTCCTTCGTGGATAGTATAACTATTATAGATAGAAATGTTGAAATATACGTTATGTATAATATAAAACTTGCCAAAATAGCATTAGGAAGATTCTTAATAGAAACACAAAGATAACTTTATTCAACTTTTTCGTTAAATTACTATTTTTTAACGAAAGCGGAATCTGGCTCACAAAAAAAACTGAATAGACAAAAGAATATATTTTGTATCTGATGTAAGATAATCATAAACGAAGAGGAAACCCAAGGAAAACCCAAATTAAAATGATAAAATGGATTTTGATCAGTCATTCGTTGGGAGAGAGCAGCAAAATAATCCATAAGGGAGACTACAGGAGTTGAGTCTTCAGCTTAAAGGAAAAATTGCCAGGCCAATTAAAATAAAGCCCAGGTTTGTGAAATAACAGAAGTATGAAGTAGCCCAATTACTAATTCACAATACAGAAAGGTGCTTACAAAAGAAATGAAAAAGAACGGAAAAATAGCAATAATTTCGTACAAATGGTTGCGTTAAAATTTTGTAAAGCTTAATACAGTAATGAAGAATAAAATTAATATTAAGTGTACTATAACAATGTGAAATTAATCAATTGAAATCTTAGAAGAATGGATGCTCAACATTGGTAATACTTTTGATATCTAATGTTTATATCCTAAAAAAATGGTATAAGATTAACAAATTAAATACTAAAACGTTCTTTGTTATTTTTTTTATTGAAAGCAAAGGTATTAACAAGGATTTAATCGTTCTCCATACAGGTAAATATTCTGCAGATAGGAAACCAGTTTAGGGTTTCCCGATTACAATTTGAAATAAAAAAGCAATTTTGTTTATAAAATACTGATTTTGTTTTCATACCATCCTATGCTTTTCATAATTATCAGTTTAAAAGTACTAGAAAAATTAGAAAGCTTTGGTCTTTAAATAATTTACAATGTTAATAATTTACAAAACAAGAACATCGTTGAAAAGCCCGAACTAATTAAATTTATTAATTTTACACGAAAGTCTTACGTAGACTCGTAGACTAGAGGTGGGACAAGGGATTGACATGTTTCTTTTGAGATACATATGTACATATTAAATTTTTCAGAATTTTCATTATACAAAAATTATTTTCCAGATTTTGCATTGGCCATAAATATTTCGATTTACGCATTAATTTATACTCAAAATAATTTGAATCAGTTGCCAACTGACCTTAACAGATCTAAAATTTTTACCGTTTGTTTTTTTGTATCAATACGAAATTATTGTTGTTGTTACATTTTTATTTTGTATAAATTTTCTTAATCTAACATAGTTAATCTACCATTGCTTATTATAAGTGATAATGTGAATAATTGTGAAAATATAGAAAAAATAAAACCAAAGTGAAAAATACTTCTTTTATTTTATTTTATTGAAAATTTTTTTCGGAAATTTAATTCTTTTTTTTTTGCTTTTAACAGTAAATTTTTTTTTTGCCCTAATCTCTTTGTCTTCGGCAATTCTCAGTCACGTACAAAACCTTTTTGGTATTTTTGTGTTTTTTTGCCTTTTTGAGTTTTGTGGCTAAATAAAGTCATAACAGAAACCGACATATTTCTTTTTCAAAGGGAATGTTTAGCTAAACATTCTCATATAGTAAAATAATAAAAACGCTATTACTGGAAGAGAAAATGTAAAAAACTTTCCTAATTTTTTTCTGTCATGAGGATTTTTTTTTATTTTTATTTTTTTACAAATACATGTAAGTACAGAGAGAGTTAATAATCCATTATATGGTGGTAAAAAGTTGAAAAATCATAAAAATCATAATATCATTTGTATTCCCTAAATTATATTTACATTTATACCTAAATAAGGTTTGAAGAAGTTGTTAAAATATTATTTAAAATAAATTTTATTTGTCAAAAGTTTGTATGAATTTATAAAATAGTGCAAGCAAATGCATGCTTAAAATTACATTTTAAGAACATTTCTGAATATTTAATTTCATGATCAAATTATCTGTATTTTAGCAGAAATGTTTAACTAAATTCATGAAAAAATTAAAACCTTGTATTGGAAACTTTGGACAATAAATGACCAACATGTGACGTTTTTCTTTTACAATATGGATGCAGAGAGATTTCGATTTTACTTGTCAAAATAAGTTAGAAATCTACTCGAAAAATTATTTGGATCAGTTACGCGGACTGATCGTTTTATTAAAGTATTCTTTAATTAATTTAAGGATCTTGGTATTTACTATAATGAATCATTTATGACAATTTGTTAAACAACTCAATAAATTTTTGCTTCATCGCCTGGACACACGGCGATGAAGAAACATATACTTCCAGAAACATATACTTCTGTTATTTCTTAGCATTACAAACGAGTCAGCAAATTTATAATGCAAACTGTACATACGTTTATATGTGTATAGAAGGAGTATAATAAATAAATAAACAAAAAAAAAATATTAAAACCATACATAACATAACTTTATATTAAATCCTTAACTATACAAAATATTTTCAAAGAATCATTCATGTTTTAAGTGTCTAATAACGAACAACAATAACATATACGAAGCTTAATGATAAACTTCAAGCATAAGCTTTGGCACAGAATAATTTTTGATAAAACTCATGTTTTTATTAAGGTACCAACTAACAAGTTATAAAACTCAAGAAAAAAATAAGGAATAAATCCAGTCCTTCATTTACAAAATACAACATTTTTCTTTGAAGTAAGCGGGCTACACAAAATTATTTCAATCCAGATAACTAAAGGTTTCGCTAAGATTCTATGTATAAAATTTGCTATATTCAAACAGACGAACATATGAATACATTGACAGACAGAGTGAGTGAAACCCATTAGCTTATTTTTCACAAATATTTATCGAAATGTGAAAAATTAAATCGTGATTTGCTTATGCTTTCAAATTCTTTAGTGTATGGACGTAAGTAAAAAACTTAAATGCAAATTACAGAAGTAAATCATAGTAAGTTTTGATGCGAAGTTCCATAGGAAGAAACCTCTTATATATTAAAACGTAGTCGTAAAAATCCATGTTTTGTAAAATGGCACATTTCTCTTTAACAATTTAAGTCTAGGACTTGTTATTATAAACAATTAGATAAGTCAAAATCTGACCAAAATTAATATTCAGGGTGATTCAGTAAAGAGTACAATATTATATATCATAGTTTATAGCACAACGGTTTCCGAAATACAACGATTTTAACGAATTTTCACGAAATTTCTACTTGCCCTAGTTTTTTTGCGTATAACGTCTCTTCCAAAAAGTATAAAAGCTTTATACAAACAGTTATTGAAAGCTAGTAAAAGGCTTGATAGTATGATATTTTGAATACAGTTAGTTTGTCAAAAACTTAAATTTTCTCCACCTAACATTGAAAACATGAATTTGAAAGAACGTTGTATTGAAGTTATATGGGATAGTACAGAAAATTATGTTCTAAAAAAATAATGTTCCCACTGAGTTTTAAAGGTTTCAGTCATCTATTTTCGATGTGGAAGAAGAACGTACGGGCAGACATAGTAAACGAATGCACAATTTTTTCGAAATTTTGTAATGTGATAAAAAAATGAGAAGTAAATCTCATACTAGTA